CTATCTTACCTTATGTTTAGCAAAGCATGTTTTAATTTCATCTACTAGAAAGTTCTTATAATGAACAAAGTTCATGTTTTTGGATTACTTTTCCATCATGTTTCAACTTTGACTTCTTGCTTGGTTTTCATGAAACAATCATAAAAAGAATCATTTCTGTAGAAATATTCAAAGGTTTCATCAGTTTTCCCAAGGCCCTCTCTTAATCCTATATACATATAGCATTATATATAATCTATATACCTTTGCCTCCCAGGTTCAAGTGATATAAAATTATACATAATCTATAACCTCTACCTCCCAGGTTCATTTGATTCTTGTGTCTCAGCCTTCTGAGTAGCTGGGATTACAGGCATGTGCCACCAACCCTGGCTAATTTTTGTATTTTTAGTAGAGATGGCGTTTTGCCATATTGTCCAGGCTGGTCTTGAACTCCTAGCCTTAAGTGATCCACTTGTCTTGGCCTCCCAAAGCGCACTGTGCCCAGCCAATCCTATACTATTTTTATCATGCATTTCAGAAGTACTAAAGTAGTCATTATCGTTGATTTGTTTCTTCAACAGTTGACTCATCTAATTCTGCTAGACCCTTACTAGTCATTGACTACTTGTGAAACCCAGCAATCCTCTCGCATGACGTTCATTGACTTTATGAAACGCTGTGTCTTTCACAAAATGTGTATTTTCACATTGAAGAAAGTTAGACGAAGGATCACTGGTAATAAGTATAAAGAGATAATAAGCAAAGGGAGAGTTTAGAAGCACTTAGTTCATTAGTGAGTATTTTTATATCTTCTGCTAACCTACTAAACCCTTATAATTGCAGGAACTCAAATAATGAAGATCACTCTCTTGCCACCATCCCATATGGTAGGATTTGGTTTCATCAGCCCACTACATGCCTTCATGAAACCACTAGAGCCAGTTGTCCAGAGCAGCTCAAAACAATAATGATCACAGAATTAACACCTAAAAGCAAATGGCATAATAAAAAAAAATCATTAAAAGTTTACATAGCCAACAAAATTTTCCAGGAAGCAGGTAAAATCAAGTTTAAAAAAAAAAGGCAATGAAAGTCAAAGCTAACTCATGTTTAACTGATTAGTGCTAAATGTTTCTATGATGGGTTTTGAATGTCACCAAGAAAAGTCTCTGATATGTAGGTGTTAGAGCAGAATAGTATCTAGCCTACAGGAAGATTAAAGGATTAAAATGAACTAATACTCTACTTGCTAAAACATACAGAGTTCTACACAGTGCCACTCAAATGGCAGCCAAGTGTTATCAGCAAGGCTAAATTTGGATCAAATAACCTAAAAACCACTTAAGATAAAAAGAGTGCTAAAACAAACGCAAGTCATAATAAGGGCCAGTGAGAGAACAGGGCATGTCAGGTGACATGGTTTCCAGAATAAAAAAGGACCAACTCAAGATACATAAGAACTGGGATACATTCTTGATAGCTAGAATGTTTGGTGGAGGTTTAAACTGAGGCCCTTACACCCCACCCCCAACAAAAGGGCCCTTAGCCACTCTTTATAGAATTGAGATCCTGCTTTAAAGAAACCAGAGCAGACATACCTCACAAGGAATGTATCAACGATCATAACATGGGTGGCCAAGCATCCAGACAGGCCCAGAACTAGGACTAATCTCTGGTGGCAATACCCAAACAGCCTGGTTTGACCAATGAGTATCTCAGAAGCTAGAACAGCCTGCCACTGTGGCAAGACTAAAAAGGAAATCTTTTGGAGCCAACCCTTAAGTATGCCTGGGTGACGATGGTAATGAATGTATCAAAATCTAGGGTAGAGGTGGCTTTAGTTCATATCTAAGAGGTCTCAGCTGATTGGTACTATCAAACTCAAAGGCATGAGGATTAACAGGTCACACAGAAGAACTGTACACCCCTCTAGAATAAAACTTAGTAGGCATGGTGAGTGGTCCAGGCACAAACGCTGTCATTCCCGGGCTTCAATCATACTTTGAATGAAATTCAAGCAACTTCCCACGGCCTATGAAGCCCTGTGAGACCTGGCCCTAGCCTACTACCCCAATCATACCTCCTACCCCGTGCTTGCTACTCCAGATGCGCCAGAACATAGGATTGTTCCCAGCATAGGATTCTTCATCTGCTGCTTCTACTGGGACACTTCACCAGCACAGAGCCTCACCCCATCCGTCTCTCCCTCACCTCACTCAGGTGTTTGCTCAGTCACTGCCTCCTTTCTGGCTACCCTTATCAAAAGTGGCCCACCCTACCCATTCTTCTTTATCCCTTTACACTATTCATTAATTATCATTTGTTTCTTCCCTTGGAATAATATAAACTCCATGAACACAGAAACCTACTATCTGCCTGATTCACCACATACTCTGTTTTCCAAAAATGTGTCTGGGCACACAGCAAAACTCAACAAGGAATGAGGTTTGGAACAAATGAATGGACATATACTCATTGCATTGATACAAATATATTTTATAAAATAATGAAATATTAAACAAAATAATAAGCAAATAATTATAAACAAGACTGCAAGAAACCAAACCAAAGCCAAAGGGCTAATCAAAGATTTGAATGTTTGTATGCAAAATACTGTACCAAGAGCAGCTTGGTACAACCACCCTGAACTCTCCTCTGTACCTGCTGACCTTAAACTCCATTTGAAACCAGGTTCTAGCTGTTAATAAAACACTCTGAACGCCATCAGAAGTTCTCCAAGATCTTGATCCTTCTTTAAATTAACCAGAGCTCACTGAGGCAAGAGAGACGGTACCTTCAATGACCCATTCTGTAACAACAGTGTCGTAACACTTGTTTGCAAAATAGGAAATCATGTTCAATATGTTTTATGTAACTATATTAAATATATTGCAATATTGTTTATGGAACTGAAGAAATAATCAGAACTTAGAAACTAGTAATAGAATTCTCCTAATTCAATACTCCCACTATCACTGAATAACTCTGTGACCATAAGTATATTATTAAAGCACAGAATACATGCCAAAGATGAAAATCCACTAAGCAGAGTCAAAAAAGAGTTATCAACAGATGATGAAACTGAAGACAACTAAGGCCACCAGCCTTGCTCTGCCAAAGATGGTCACTGGCAGTGCAGTACACATGGACACTGAACTCAGGACAGTCCAGGTTCAAATAATCAGTGACCAGCAAGGAAATGGAAGCTGCCGCAGGACTACCCAAAATGTCTTTAGGAAGCAATTAGGTCTATGAAAGACTAGACCAAGGCAATGCAGGCCTGCAGCACCCTAAAGAACCACAGAGCCATTTCCAGGCTGTCCTTCCAGCCAGCCAGACATGGATGGAAGACCTGGACATGCAGATGTTGTTTTATGCTTCCTACCAGTTTCACAGGAGGCTTAGAACTTAACTTTCTTTTGAAAAGCAACAGCTTATCAACGGATCATTATAGCCTCAAAGTTGTTTAACAAAGCTATTGTTTTCATAGGAATAGGGCAGATAATGGGGAAGGACTACTCATCATTATCTCTAGAAAACTTTCTATTTATGACTCCAGAAAAACAGGTACATATAAAAATAAGTCATAAGCCAATGGAATGGAGTCTTCCAACTTTTCTGAATGCATCAGGCCATTCACTGACCACAAGTATACATTCACCTTAGTTAAGACACATCCCCCATTGATCGCCTAACTGCCGTAGAAGGTATGGCCCTTCAAGTCTTATAAACTGCAGCCTTCCAGTGTCAGCACTCTCCTGTCTGGTAAGCAGTGGAGGCACTGGGAAATCTACTCCTCTCCCAGAAAGGAAATAAACTAAAAAATAAAGAGCACTAATAAAGTCCTAGCAGTCACAAATGCATTTTGAAAACTTTATGACTAGGGTTGACTATGTCATAGATACAGGCAATTGATTACCAGTGTTCAGAAAGTATTTTCAAGCAGGGGTAATAAACACTCTACATTTGAAAGAGAAAATTGAATTCAACAAGCTACTTTGTAAAGCCTTTATTCCAGTAAATTATAATTTTCTTATCAAACATATGTATGAAACTCCGAATGCCATCTTGCCCAATATAATTTTTCAAAAGAAATTTCACAAACAATAAAACTAAATGAGTGTGGTCCACTTAGCCTCTTTGATAAATGTATGATGATACATTGTTCATAAACTCCTCTACCTTGCCTGATTTGTCCTAAGAGTACTTACCACATCTGAATTAATTTAATCTGTTTAGTGCCTACTTCTCCCACTAGAACATAAGCTCCAGAAGGGTGGAAACTAAATCTTATTCCTAGCCCTATTCCCAATACCCAAAATAGTGAATGCCTTTATAAATATTTGAGGATCAAATGAATGAACAATAACATCTATAACACACAGTCTTTGGACACACATGAATGTGAATATGCAACATATATATATGTTCAACATGTTGTATATATAGATACAAAACAGACAAAGCATTTTACACATGTGCAATCTCATGTAGTATATAGCATGGGGGAGAAAACATTAACCCAGAGACAGAACATCGAGAATTTTTTTTATTTGCTAACTCTACCATGTGACAGCTGTATCATCTTGACCAAGTTACTTACACTCTCTGGTCCTGAGTCTATTTGTCTGTGGAAAGAACGTTCTCAGCTTTATTATCTTTAAGGATATTTTTAACTCTAATATTTTTCTCAATAAACTCAAGACTCTTTGGAAGGCTGAGGTGGAAGGATTGCTTAAAGCCAGGAGTTCAAGAAACATAGTGAGACACAGTCTCTATAAAAATGCTTTAAAATAGCTGGTCTGGTGGCATATGCCTGTAGTTCCAGCTACTCAGGGCTAAGGTGGAAGGGTCTCTTGAGCACAAGAGTTTGGGGTGAGCTATGATCACACCACAGTACTCCAGCCTGGGCATCAGAGTGAGACCCTCTCTCTTTAAAGTAATATATATATATATACACACACACACACACACACACGCATATATAAACTGTGAATTTCATCCCTCCTCCAACCTACCCTTTTGTTCCTCTCCTCATTTTCTACTTTCCTTTTCCTTGAACGGTGGAGCAGAATGCTCTAAAGTAATTTTGGAACACAAATGAGCTTCCTGAGCCACCAGACAGCGGCTGATACCATAAGCTTGGGCACAGGAAAGGGGCGCCAGCTATAAACTCCTCAGCAGCCATGCAGTGCCCCATCACCATCATCCTTCCCCAACACCTTCTGACCTCAATGAAGTCAGTCAGGACCAAGAACGAGCTCATATTTACATACACCACTCCCTTCCATAAAAATAAAAATAGGGTAACCTTTAAAATCACAAACAACACAGCCCGCACTGCCAAAGGGACAGGGTTTAGCTAGTTCTCACTCTCCAAAGGTTTCTTTCATTGGGACAAGCAAACCACATCATTTAGATTCTGTGACCTACTTCCAAGAGCAGATCTAGCGCACTCGTTAAGTCAGTGAGTCACGCCATTGGCTTTCCTTTACCCATCTCTGTAAGACGGTCCTGCCTTCCGCTCGGTACAGCACACAGCACTGGATCTCTCTGCCAAAGAGTGCTGAGACTCAAGAGCAGAGACATTTATCTACAAGAATTCTATGGAAGAAGACATTCGGCACTCCCCAGTCATACTTTTATTTTCTATATATTATATATAATTAAATCCACGGGAACTATAAAACGCACGTACCTACCTCCTTTTAAAATTTAATAAATACATTTCAGCATTTAATCCTGATTTATACTTACAGCTTATCACATAATTTAGCCCACATGTAGAACTTTGCTTTTTCTATGCCAAGCTAATAAATGCAACCCAGTTTCCTAGAATTTAACAGTACACCATACTCATACTTCATAAAATAAATATCTGAATGAGAAAGTCAACATTGTTGTATCTTTTCAGGCACTCAATCATGATATAGTCTTCCAGCCAAGAAATCTAGGAAGCTGACTGAGTTCAAAAAACATTTTTAATAAGGAAGGAACAAAAACCAAAAGCACCCCTACATTCTAAGGGTGAAAGGGGTGTTGATGGGATGTAACTCAAACCATAACAAACTCTATGTATGAGAAGCAATTCAGAGTGTACAATTTTACCTTCATGTATTATTTCATTTGTTCCACAAAACAACATTGTAAGACAGACCAGGGAAATATTACTATCTCCAATTTCATGAACCAGAAAATCAGGTCAAAGAATGACAGTTTCCAGGAGGTGGCAGAATAGGGAATAAAATTCACATCTCCTCATTTCTTGTCTGTGATGGTGGTTCTATACTTTCATTTGATCTTTCACTTATAATAATCAAGCTAGTCTTGCTCTAAAACAAATAGAGAATCAATACTATCCACACACAATAGATATAGCTAATGAATGAGTGAACAGTAGTATATAATTTGTCTCTTAGCCAAGCAAAAACTATGAGTGGTAGGAAATGAAAGGACCTTATCAAGACAAGACAAATGATGTTAGTAAATTATTTCTCTTCCCCCTACATGGACTTTTTTTTAAAAAATTTTTGAGTCCTCTTATAGAAGATGATTACAAGAAAAGAACTCTTGGGATCAGGAAAGCAGAACTGAAACCTAAAGTTTATCATGCTGATAAGGATATTTACAAAGGAAGTAATAAGTTACCACTGCTTCCTGTTTTAAGTATCTTATCTGTAAGACACTAAATATTTTTCACCACAGAACCTCACATTTAGGACACTTCCCAAAATAGCATCTTCTGATCTTTAGCTGTCAGCTGAAGTTGTTTCATAAATAGCCCAGCATCTGTACCCTAGAGAACTGGTCACACTCTAAATGCAAATACAGTCCGGTAATACCAATTCCTTTTAGGCTTTGGTGACAACATGAAACACACAAAATCAAACAGCCACAGAACTTCTAAAGAGAATACCACAGAGGTCTATGGTTAATGACCTATAGAATTCTAGCTGAACTATTTCTGGACACTTTGAAATAAAGGCCATTAGCAGATATATATTCCTGTTTTTTAGTACTGGTTTATAAAGGAACACAAGGTTTGTTTCAGGTTAGTTAATATACAAACAATTAAAAACAACTTTTTTGCAAAGATTCGTTTTGGTGAATAGGATGTATATACAGAAGCATCTGGGCTCTCTATTTGAAACAACTTTTCTGGAGGCCTTCATAGTCAACAAGTACAGACAGCAAAACTGATTATAAGGAAACCTGTTTGAAATGTTACACATATAACCCTAAATATATGGAGAAAACACACACATACACACAAGTATAAAAGGAGCCTAGCTGTAATCTGTATGATCTAGGATGTCAGGAATTCTACTGCCAGAATTATACAACAAGCTGAGACAATTTCAGCGAGAGAGAAAGAAAAAAATAAATGTCTGTGTTTTTAAAAGAAAAAAAAAAGATTGTGTAGAATGGGATTCTATAACTTGTTAGCTTGCAAGTTAAAAATAAAAATAAAAAAGAATGAGACTGTGGAGCCTAACCTGGGATTTTATTCTTTTCTTTTGCATCTTGGTCCTTAAACAAATATGTGTGCTTTTGTGACCTCCTTCCTACACCACCCTCTTTCCCTTTACCCAGCAGCCCTCCCCATCACATTTTCCCCAGGAGGGTAGAGAAGGAAGGGGTTTGGCTTTGGTTAGCTGTAGCCACTCCAGGAGAGTAGTCTTAAGATTCATTGCATGCTTATGTAATAATGATTCAAAAATATTTGTTGAGTGTTGAAATACGATATAAATATGATCTTCAAGCCCTTTTAGCTAATTGGATAGTAGCTACTTTTTTTTTAGATGGAGTTTTGCTCTTTTCAGCTCTTGGCAGCCAGGCTGGAGTGCAATGGCAGCGATCTTGGCTCACTGTAAACTCCGCTTCCTGGGTCAAGCAATTCTCCTCCCTCCGTCTCCCAAGTAGCTGGGATCACAGGCGCCCACCACCATCCCAGGTAATTTTTGTATTTTTAGTAGAGACAGGTTTTCACCACGTTGGCCAAGTTGGTCTTGAACTCCTGACCTCAGGTGATCCACCCACCTCAGACTCCCAAATTGCTGGGATTACAGGCATGAACCATCATGCCTGGCCAGTAGCTGCTTTTTTTCACATAAAGGTGATAGGCAGTGAGGCATGGCAGCAGGGCCCCCTCTTATGATCCCAGAGATAATTCCCTGCAGTTCAACAGAGAAAGCCCTATTCCTACATTACAAATCCAGACAGGGAAGCTCAAACCAGGAAGTCCAGGCAGTTTCAGATTCCCACTGGATGTCCAGAAAGGACAACAACCAACCTTCAGTGAACCTCATTAACTTATTTCCCTGAGACTTGAGAGTCCATCATGGTAAGAAAGAATAAAAACGTTATAAATGTCTATACCGAATCAAAATCACAAAATACTCAAAATACTTTTTTAAAAAGACTACTGGGGCTGGGCGCAGTGGCTCACGCCTGTAATCCCAGCACTTTGGGAGGCCAAGGCGGGTGGATCACAAGGTCAAGAGATCGAGACCATTCTTGCCAACATGGTGTAACCCCGTCTCTACTAAAAAGTACAAAAAATTAGCCAAGCATGGTGGTGCGTGCCTGTAGTCCCACCGACTCAGGAGGCTGAGGCAGGAGAATTGCTTGAAACCAGAAAACGGAAGTTGCAGTGAGCTGGGATTGCACCACTGCACTCCAGCCTGGTGATAGAGTGAGACTCTGTCACAAAAAAAAAAAAGACTACTGGTAGATGAGTTCAAATAAATCTCTTTTTAAAAATGCAAATTACTGTCCTTCAGAGAAGAGTGCTTAAAAAGACTCCAAGGTGGTACATAAATCTATAAAGTTCCACTGTCATTGAAAGAGTAAAACACTAACATGGAGTAAATTAAAATGGGGAGAACATGGGGAAATCAGGAAGCAAATGTCTAACTATGCCCAGTCCAGGGCTGGCCTGAAATGTACTATAGAATGTTGAAGGTTTGGGGGAGGAAAATGATACAAAAAACTCAAGGTTTTGGAAAGATATGTAAAATTAATTGAAGATTTTAAAATTAAGAATGATGAGTAAAGCCTAAAAATGATTAGTATTAAAGGAAAACTGAGACCTGACTTCATAAATGTCTTCAAACACATGCAGGGAAACATTCCATAAAAGGTTGGTGGCCTAGGTAAATAAGCTGTTTCATCCCTACCAGAGTATTAACCAGCAATAAAAAGAAATGAGCTATCAAGCCACAGAAGATGTGGATGAATCTTAACTGCATATTGCTAAGTAAATGAAGCCAGCCTGATAAAAATACATACTATAATGATTCCAATTTGATGACATTCTGGAAAAGGCAAAAGTATAGAGACAATAAACAGAACAGAGATTACCAGGGGTTGGGGAGAGAGAGGAAGTGTTGAATAAGTGAAGCATAGAGCATTTTAGGGCCTTGATACTATGCTGCATGATACTATAATGGTGAATACAAGTAATTAGGCATTTGTCAAAACCCACAGAATTTATATCACAAACAGTAAGCTTTAATGTATGCAAATAAAAAATACACCTAGAAAGCTACTGATCCCAGGATGGAATGCAGAATGTGATAAAAGAGTCTAAATGTGTTACAAATGCATGAAAGGGCTTCAGTAAAAGAGGAAGGAGAATAAGGTGCTGATCTATTTAACTCTGGAAATGAAGGGAACCTATAAGACTAAATGCAAAAGAAACTCTACAGAAGCATTGAACTCTAGTTAATAAAGTTGTTTCCCATGGGGCTAGAGTTAACAATCCTGATACTGCTATGTATACATATGTAGTAAAATGGAACAAACAAATGGATCAAGCATAGTAGTAGCCAGATTTCACACTGTTGGAGTGGGAGGTGACAGACAAGCAAGGAGGCGAGAATGGTCCATGTGGAAATGGATGGGAATTAGAGACAGCAATGTGAACTCAAGTTTAGCTTAGTACAGATACAGATGGTTACATATAGAAATATTTATAGATATATATATATATATATATATATATGGGTTAGTATACACTTACATTTCCTTGCTCTGTCAGCTGAGAAGGCAAAAAAGAAATGACATCTCAGTAGCAACAAACAATGCCAGTTCCCAGATGGTACTTAATTTCTAATATAATTGTCCCTTAGTTATCTGTGGGGGATTGTTTTCAGAACTCCTGTGCCTACCAAAAATCCATGGATGCTCAAGTCCCTCGTATAAAATGGTGTAATGCTTGCATATAACCTATGCACAACTTCTGGTATACCTTAAATCACCTAGGGATTACTTGTGATACAGAATATAATGTAGATGCTATGTATAAGTGTTATACTATACTGTTTAGGGAATAAGGACAAGGGAAAAAAGTCTGTACATGTTTAGTGAAGATGCAACTATCCTTTTTTTCTTTTGAATAGTTTCAATTCGTGTTTGGCCAAATCCATGAACGCAGAACCCAAGGTTACAGAGGGCAAACTGTGAATTTTCCAATAAAAGGAAGCAGCTCCTTAGAGAAATGGATGATTTTAGAACTGGGGCAGGAAATAAACAGGGTGATCCTGTAGTATCTTGGAGTGTCAAAAAGTAAGGGAATGCGATATACACACACACACACACACACACACACAAAAAAAAAAAAAAAAAAAAAAAAAAAAAGCAAGAACCTGCAATGATGGGAGTATGTCAAAGGGACACAGGTGCCAACTAGAAGCGTTAAAGCTGGAACAATTTGAGCAACAAAATAAAATGTTATTGTATTATAACCTGTAGTATAAAATAAACAGCCATGAGTCCATACTAACATAAATAGAACTGACTAAATAAATAAGAAACAAATCTGTGCAGAAGAATCATGTGTGCATGTGCGTGTGTGTGTGTGTGTGTGTAGACAAATGTTCACACCTTAATTGTGGATTATGTATCATCACTCTGCCAAAGAGCACAATATGAGAAGGGGGACAAGGGTAAACTTACAGTAGAAAAACCTGACAAACCCTCGCTCAGCAAAGTTATCAAGGTCAGCATCGACCTTGAGAAATCTTGTTAACAGGTACACTTGATAGGTGATGAGAGGGCACTTCATCTTTGTGGTCTTCATCCCCGAGACACATACCCAGTCTAACCATGAGAAGAACATCAGACAAATCTCAACTGAGGGACGTTCTACTCCTCAAAACTGTCATGATCAGAAAAAACAAGAAAAGTCTGGGAAACTGACACCACCAAGAAGTGCCTAAGGAGACACATAATGTAATGACTAAATGCCATATGGTTTCCTGGATGAGACCCTAGAAAAGAAAAATAAGAACATTAGGGAAAAACTGAGGAACTCTGAATAAAGTACTGATTTTAGTTAATAATAACATGCCACATTAGCTCGTTGTGACAAATATATCATACTAAAGCAAGATGTTAAAGGTAGAAACTAGATGTGGGGTACACATCTAAATCTCTGTACTGTCTTTGCAATAATACTGTAAATCTGTAACTGTCTTGAAATAAAAAGCTTATTTTAAAAATGCTATTGAGTTAAAAATGAATGATAAAACAAGTTTAGGTGACTATATAAATATTCAGGTATTTTGTTTTCTATGGGATTTTCAAACCTATTTAAATTTCCTGACCACTTACAGAACCCCAAATTGTAACCTGTATTTGATGAATTATTGTTTTCCATAGAACAGTTGGTTGATGCAAAATTTCTTTCAGAGGAAACCAACTGATACGGTTTGGCTCTGTGCCCCCATCCAAATCTTATCTTGTAGCTCCCACAATTCCCATGTGTTGTAGGAGGGACCCAGTAGGAAGTGACTGAATCATGGAGTGAGTCTTTCCTGTGCTATTCTCATGATAGTGAATGAGTCTCATGAGATCTTATGTTATAAAAATGGGAGTTTCTCTGTGCTCTCTTTTTGCCTGCTGCCATCCACACAAGAGATGACTTGCTCCTCTTTGCCATGATGTGATGCTTCCCGCCCCCTCTCCGCTCCCTCCCCACCCCAATGTGCAGCTGTAAGTCCATTAAACTTCTTTATTATGTAAATTGCCCAGTCTCAGGTATGTCTTTATCAGCAGCATGAAAATGGACAAACATACTGACCCTATTATTAAATTTCAGCAAATACATATATGTTATATTTGAAACCCAGAAAAGTCATAGTCACTTTAATTAGTATTGTCTGATCTATTATAAAATATTTTCTATTTATAAATATTTTTTCTAAGAATTTCTTAGAAAATTCATTTCCTGTCTTATTTCCTCTTTTAGCAAACTGATGACTTGCGTACCAAGGTTATAATTTTCCATTTAATCTTCTGCACATTTAAATATGTTCATTGAATTTTAAGTTTGTTTTTAGAACTTAATAGTACTTTACAGTATATTTCTATAATATAATTTAAATCTTCTGATAAAAATATAATTTATAGCCTCAATTTTTTAAAAAAGGCCGCTTGTCATGACTACTAAAATCAGAATGAAGGAAATTCTCTCACATGTAAGTGAAGGATTTAAGTTAGTAATAAAGAAATTTCCTCACCATAAAAGCTGTTATCCACTAGAAAAAGCAACCTTAAAATTGTGGGATTTCCTCTTGTGATGTATGGATTTAACAAGAATATGCCTGAAGAGCCTTGCTTGTAAAATACACAGCAATACCAAAGTAAAAGCTTTTCATATAAGAGCATTTCAAGATACTCTTTCCTCCCAAACATCAAATACTTTTCTAACAGAATTATCAAATATAATTTTGGAAAAGAGAGATTAGAGTATATACATTACCAGTTTTGCATAATAGTCTTTAGAAAAAAACGCTTAAAAATATCCAGTGAAAATTACTACCATCCAATGTTGCAACATAAGCTATGGTTCATGACACCCCTGCTTCCTCCAACACCCATGGCCCAGTACAAGTAGGTGGCCATACTTGTTGCCAGCCCAGTCTTCTCTAGGGCCTCGCAGATATACCACATACTCCTAACATCCTCTCTCAATATGTCGCCTGGTCCAGATCTTGACTTTCATGTAAGACAATCTCTCTTAAGCACATATACGTCAACTTAAATCCTTACTTCCTTCTCTTTTATATTTTGCCTTATTACATCACAAAAATGTGCCCTAGAGAAGCTGGTCCTCTACAGCTTTCTTACTTACATGGCTCTCAAGAAAGGAAGTTCTATGAAAGCCTGAATTTTTGTCTGTTTTCTTCACAGTTGTAATTCAAGAACTTAAGAATATGCCTGGGACTGAGTAGAAATTCACTAGCTCCTTATTGCACTACTTAACCAGCATGCTCTCTCATGTCAGGTCTACAAACATTCGAGTCTTCAGCAATTTCCCACCAGGATCTTCATGACCAGTTACAATCTCTTTTAAATTTCAGGTTCGGCAATTATAACAGCTTAATTCTGCAATGAATGGAAAAATCTAAGAAAATATTCAATACCTACCAAGTGTCAGGAGTAGTAATGTAGTTAACAGAAACTCTATTTCCTGAATAGAATATAATTCTGGTCTACAAATAAATGAGGCGCTGATATATTTTCCATACTGTGCTTTAAAACCCTATGGTCCAACATTCATTCATTATTTAGATATAACAAATAGTATCTACCAAATGCCAGACTCATTCCACTGAGCATTCAAACCTACTCAGCCACGCTAGTGGAAAGAGAAATGGCCTAGCTCGATACTAGGCACATACCTATGAGGACACACATCTTCAAGCTTTAGAAAGCAGCATAAATGTGAAACAGCTGTGAAGAGCCAATAAAACTGAAGTCTTATTTAAAATAAAATAGAACTTATTTCTACAAATCTTGTGGAGTTGTGGGTTTCATACCCAAATGTGACAAATGCTCTGCCATAAGTATTATAAAAGTGTCTGGATCCTAAGTTTCAGCTCAATACTTCAAATGTCCAACAATGTTTGAAAACAATTGCTACAATGGCTGACACACCAGTTTAGAATACACATACCGTTACTTTGGCCATCACACCAGTCCAGCCTGTGTGGAAACAAACGTCAGGGACTGCAGGGGAAAAGTCTCAAATCTGAGCAATTAAGTTCAATTTTCCAGACCAAGGGAATATTTTAGCAGAGTAGCTACCAAGAGCTAAACTGGCAAAATTGACTCATCTAAATTTAATTCCTTTTCCCAGACTTTACCCATATTTTAGTAGAGGGGCTAATTAGCAACAATATTCCCAAGAGGAAGAAAAAGGAGGAGCAATGGGAGACATGACAAGGGAGGTCTATACATCACAAATTTTGTAACTGGCCTCTTTAAAAACAGAAGTAGTGGCTGAGCACAGTGGCTCATGCCTGTAATCCCAGCACTTTGGGAGGTTGAGGCAGGTGAATCATGAGGTCAGGAGTTAGAGACCAGCTGGCCAACATGATGAAACACCATCTCTATTAAAAATACAAAAAATTAGCCGGGCGTGGTGGTACACACCTATAATCCCAGGTACTTGCGAGGCTGAGGCAGGAGAATCGCTTGAACCCAGGAAGCGGAGGTTGTGGTGAGCCGAGATTGCACCACTGTACTCCAGCCCAGATGAAAGTGCAAGACTCTGTCTCAGTAAGTAAATAAAAAGAGAGGAAGCTATGATATAATGTTTACTTTTCAAATGATTTTCTCATTGCTTTTGATATCTGAAACCTCAGTGAAAATGCTATGCTGTGACCTAGATCAGTAAGCTGCAATTAACATCAGAAGAACTAGAAGAATAAGCTGATGAGCTACTGTTGGAAGCACAGAAATAAATCTTGTCAAAACAAAGCAAAGTTTCTGTCAATCTTCAAAAGAATGGTTTGAGGGAACGGAGGAAGTGTCCAAGACTTAAGATACATAGGAGTTGCAATTTATTTCACCCACATTTTCATATTCAGTCATACCAGATTACAAAAACTCTTGTAATTTTGATTGACTATTTTTAATGTAGCTGATATTGTTAAATCTGAATTTTTAAAATATTTGGCAAATGAAACGGCTTGAGGTACTCAAAAAAAATCCACATTATTGTTCTTGTTTGAAACTTTTATAAAGTCATCCTCTCCCTTGATTTCAAGACTCTTCCCTGAACTGTTGATAAATACGTTTTCAATGTGGAAAGTATTTTGTGAGCACCAACTTGGATAATGGAGTCATGAAATGAAGACTGAGACTACTCTGAAGCAGCTCACAATTTTTAGTAGGAAGGAGTGCCATAAAACCAGTAACTGGAGCAAGGACAGGTGGTGTTACCACTTCCATCATCCTTCATGAAGGGGTAAATTTTATGAACTAAAAAGAGAGGCAGGGTGGTAGGTACACTTGGACCCAACTAATAAAAGATTTGGGCATTTTCTTTGGTCAGTGCATTTAAATGCATTACTTTTACATTGCAATGCAATTTTATTTACTTTTTCTGGAAATTCATTCAGACCTCTTCTTAGATAGGAGAATTGTTTCTAAATAACTTCTGCCATTATTTTTAAAAATAATATTTCCCATGCCACAAAAAAAGGAAAAGAAAAGAAAAGGCTGAAGGTTCCTAAACTGGTGAGTAACAGTAAATCCTATGAGTTGGGGTTGGGAGGGAGCGGTGGAATGGGGCTCTATTCTTAGAGAGGAGACACATTAATTAAAAATCCACCTAAAAGGAGCCAGTGAATTAGACCGAATTGGGTGGTATGGGTTTTTGTTGTGTACTTGATAATGCAAAGACACTTTCCATAGGTCCATCTAACTAATACAGCATGGTGGGAAGCAGGCTTTGAAGATACAATAACTTTTCTCCAGCAAGCTTGGAGCTGGAGGCTAAAGCACCAGTCATTCATTTTTCCATCTTGAGACACATTCTTCACCCAGTTCAAAGGCCCAAGAAACAACAAGCCTACACAGTTTCTGAAGGTCGGTCTTTGTAGGGACTTGTGAAGGACTAAAGGCTCAGGCTGCAAAATATTTCTAAAGACCAAGTTTTAGGAATGTAACCTTTTTTTATTGGACTGCAGTTTCCACTCCCTAACCCTCCTCCCCACCCCTAAACACACACACACACACACACACACACACACACATTTGGGCAAAATGGAAAGTTTTAATTATACTCTTGGTAGCTTCCAGGGTACCCTACAAATGGAAATAAAATATTTTTAGAAATTAATTCATTACCCATTCTTTTAAAAATGTAATATTAATATCCCTTAACCTAACCAGAAGGAATGAGATCTGCTTTGAAAGGAAGTTATTGTTTAGCTGGAATTGGGAAGGGGGGCAGAGGGAGCTAGCAAGGAGAGGGTTAGGGGGGTGGCCTGAACTGCCAAGATCACAATATAAATACCACCACATTCAACTTTCAGCCTCTCCCTCTGGGCTCCCCTCCACAATATATTTTATACAGTGTCTTGTTTTGTGTCTTTCTATAACCTCAGGAATATGTAAGGTATTTGAGATTCTGGTAAAAGAAAAACGTAAATAGTAGCTGATGGGAGAGCTGTGTGGAGTTAACTAAAGAACTGCCTTTGCTTTGAGTGGGATGTGGCAAATCATCTGTATTTGCTTTCCAATCATCAGCAACTCTGTTCCCCAAATCTAGATTTCTGCTCAGGCAGCAAAAGCCCTTTCAAACCATTTCAAAGTCTCTGACTCCATCTCAGCCCTTGCTCTCCACCTTGCCCCACAAAATGTCCAGCGCCCTGTACCACTTCTCATATGGCCCAGCTTGTTGTGTAAGTGGGAATAAGGAGTCAGTCATTGATGAAGGGACAGTGGAACTATATCCCCTAGCTCTGGGTTCCCTTCCATTACCATATTCGCTTTCAGGTCCTGTGTGAGCCACCTGAGGACTGTTACAAAGTATAACCCTTGGTTGGGTGCAGTGGCTCACGCCTGTAACCCCAGATTTTTAGAGGCCAAGGTGGGCAGATCACTTGAGGTCAGGAGTTTGTGACCAGTCTGGCCAACATGGCGAAACCCATCTCTACTAAAAATACAAAAATTAGCTGGGCATGCTGCTGAGGTAGGAGTATCGCTGGAACCCAGAAGGTGGAGGCTGCAGCTAGCCAAGATCTTACTGCTGCCCTCCAGCCTGGGCAACACAGTGAGACTCCATCTCAAAACAAAAAACAAAACCAAACACAGTCTAATCCTCTAACCTAGCTCATAGTAGGCATGTAATACAAATAATGTATTTTCACTATCCACCAATGGCACTAAAAGTAGAGACAACTGTGTCTACTACTAGAAAACTCAGTAGTCATTTTTGAATGTTTTACTCAGAGGTGAGCTTTCAGCCTTCATTCATCTAATAAGAGGTATTCTTAAGGAGATCTCACTCTTAAAAAGATGCCGTCAAGACCTGAATCTGTACCTGGCCCACAGAGTATGTAATATAAAAATGTTTGTTTCTCCTGAATAATAGAAGTACATTATGTATTTTCTGAAATCATTTCCTGCCCCTACATTTACAGTAGGTCCTGTTATTTCACTTCATAACACTTTGCCCTTCCTATTCCTCATGCCACATTTTGCAGTAGTGTATTTCTTTATTTACTTGTTTATTCTTTGGCCCCTGTAAAGTGACACAAAGTCAGGGAAACACGTATTTCAGTCTCCACTGCTAGGCTCACAGAATAAACTCAACGAATATTTATTTAAGGGAATATAAGTGTTCATGTTTTTCCAAAAAAAAAATATGATGGAAAAATTGTACTATCCTAATATGAAGGAAATCACTGACATTTCACCCAAAGGTAGAAATCTTCATGATAAACATCTAAACATTTACTAATGACAACAAATGACTGCGTTTAGTATACCATGGTATCGTAGTAAGTCAGACAATCTGGCTTATCTAACAGCATCTCTGTTTTACCCTTTGATACTCCATGTGGCTATGTCACTTGCTTTAGGCAATGGGAAAGTAGCAAATCTGATGTAAACAGAGGCTTGAAAAGGACTTATGTATTCATTGCTTCCCTGTTCTTGCTGCTGGGAATCTGTTTAATACCACATGAGGACTGGATCAGCTTGCTGGAGATACATATACCAGTCAATAGCAAGCAGCAACTGACAGCAAGCATCATCCACTAGATATGCAAGGAAGAGCATCCTAAACAACCAGGCCCCAGTCAACCCTACAACTGACTGAACCATATGCATTTACCCTTATGAGACAAGCAGAAGAACTGCCCAGCTGAACTCAGCCTAAATCACCAACACACAGAATTGTGACCTTGTAAATGACTGATGTTTTAAAGCACTTCGTTTGATTGCGGTTTGTTACATATCAAAAGCTAAATGTTATTTATACCTGAGAAACTAGATAGCTTCATATATAAAACTCTTTAACAGCTTTTAAAAATTTTCCTTCATATTGATGAATTTCATTCATCATTACTTTAATCTGGATGAAAACTAATACTATTGCTATTAGCATACTCTTACTGGTAAGTCACACACACACACAAACACTGACAATTCTAATTCAAACGTTACCTGTTACCACATTCTTAAAAGCTTCTGTTTTGTAACAGAGCTACCTAATTCTATTCATTCTCTTCCTAGACCACAATCATCAAGAATAGCAGGGTATCAGTCATAAATGTTTTTGACCAAGAGAAGCTCCTCTTTCCTTCAAAACAGTCATCTCAGCAATACACATCTTCCTTAGGATACAAGGCAGATTCTCTAAATTCTATTCCTCGCAAGTGTTAATAACTTTAGAGAAAATAAGTGAGAAGAAATCACTAGTGTAAATAAATTACTTAGTTGTATGTAGTCTTGTGTATAAAATAAGTTGTTCCTAGAATTTTGAAATGTTGAAAGACTATTCCAATAAAAAGCATTAATTCTTTTGAGCACTGGAAAATATGAGACATTGGTATCCAGAAATTCTTCAAAAAGATCCTTAACCTTCATACTTAATCCCATTACACTATATTAAGAACTAAGCTATTCACTCAGTGTTGGGAGAGCAAATGCCTGAGTACCAGGAAAAGAAAATAGAGTAATAAAGATTGGAATTGGTGGTGTTTAAAAACTTACACACTTTTCTGGCCAGGTGTTGTGTCTCATACCTGTAATCCTGGCACTTTGGGTGGCCAAGGCAGGAAGATCATTTGAAGTCAGGAGTTCAAGACCAGCCTGGCCAACAAGGTGAAACCACATCTCTACTAAAAATACAAAATTTAGCCAGGCGCAGTGATGCACACCTATAATCCCAGCTACTCAGGAGGCTGAAGCTGGAGAATGGCACTGCACTCCAGCCTAGGTGACAGAGTAAGACTCTGCCTCAAAAAGCAAACAAAAATAAATAAATATATAAGAAATAAAAATTTAGAAGACACTTTTCTTAATTTGAACAAATGTTTCCAACTTGAAAACCAGATCATTTTTTAACCTATGCTTTTCCCCTTCACTGTTATAGTAGATTAATCACTAGCAACTTTTTGAATCTGGGGATTGAAAAAAGACACAGAAAGTAAAGTGTCCTTTTTTTCTCTTTTAACAATAACACCACCACCACCAACAACAACAACAAATCCAGTAAGTCTGCTGTGCCTCTTTAAGTGCTGAAAGCATATTCTTCCATAGAAGACTTTGAGCAGTTGGGTATTTAACCAACTTTCTATTACAAAGCTTCAAAATTTATAAGCAGTTTATCTCTGGAAAGATAAAACCCAGCAGTGATGGTGGCCTATAAGAAATTGGGAACAAAGGTGGGAGGGAGCATTATTTTTTACTCTCCACCTGTTTTCAAAAAACAAAAAAAAAAAAACAAAACAAACAGACAAAAACACTTGAAACATAGCATGTACACGTATCACCTACACCAAAAGCACAGAGAAAAAAATAGCATGAAGAGACCCAGCAAACTATTATAAAACTTGGAAGTCTAAAAAAAAATGTTTCTTTTAATGTTTGTGTAAGACACTACCACGAACTTAAAAATAAATATGACCACATATCATCAAAACAGAAGGAGAGAAATCTCAAGTGATTATAGTTCCAGACAGAAGCAAGCTAAATACCACCGTTCAAAGTGCTAGAGCCTTTATTAAAAATAAAACCACCCACCCAAAGGAAAAAAAGAAGTCCTTGAATAACAATGCTAAGAGACCTAGAAAAGACTTTAAATTTCTTTTGTAGCCCCCACTTTCACCCCCTATTTCCTAACACTGATCAGCTCATAACAAGTCCACATTCAGTCCCTCTTCATTTAACAGCTGGATGCCTCTTCTTCTGGCTGCTTTCACTGGGACTAAAGATCCAAAGCAAAGATAGCTTTTTCCTGCTTCTTGCCAATATTATATTTGCAAACTTAATATCCAAAACGGACTGTTCTTCCAAATGAGAGTTTCAACAACTTTCCTGATTATTTAATATACTGGTGGTATTGTCAGACAGGTAGCCATGGTTAGAAAGATTCAGAAAAACACAAACCTTTAAGGTAGACAGGCACTTTTGCCCTTTAGGTTTATGAAAAATGCCAACTTTCGTGAACTCCACAATCTGAATCTTGATTTGCTTTTACCAGATAATTTATGCCATAAGAAATCTGGGAACTAATTTGGTGATCTCCTCTCAGCACCATTTTTTCCCCTCCGTTTCCATGAATCCACCTTCATCCCCTTTCGATAAAAGGTATGCTATTTGGAACATGATCGGTGCTCAGTAGTGCTGACTGAGTAAACGGAAGGAGAGAGGAAGAACAAGAAAAATTGTCTTAGGGCCTTTTTGACCAAAAGCAGATAATTTATGTTAGGGTTGAGAAATAGGTGGCCTTGAATAGTATTAACGACACTTAAAGATCTTCTGATCTTCTGACGTCCCCACCACCCCTAAAACTCTAGGGTAAATATAATTATTTTTTCATATCCATAGACCCTTCCCAATCGTTTTTAAATGAACATGAACATGATGATTGGAGAAGATCAGATAAACGACAGTTGACTGCATAGCAATTACTGATTATTCCAGTGGCCTTGAACTAACTGCTAAATGTTTATAAATGCCTTTTAATACTCTGCCAGCTCACTTAGATCATATCCTTCCTAAAAGTCAAAGCCATGACTTTCTGTGCAGAACACAATTTGCCACATTAAATATATGTGAAAAAAAAAAAGTCTCTTTGATCATTTCAATAAGCGTTAAGAAAACATCTCAAGATTAAGTGATACTGTTCAGCAACATGACCTAAATATGTCAGGGAGGATCAGAGAATCTGCATCAAAGTATTCTTTGGTCAACAATAAAAGCGGAGTGCAGGGATACATATGTAATATGCAATATTTAAAAAACATGGGATGGTCAAAGGAATACAATGAGTGCAATCCAACTCAGTTTATTCAATAAAACGTTCCAGGTATAGTAATAAAACCACAAAATCTCTACTCTACTTTAAGATAACTACAACTAGAATCGTAGTCTGACCCATGTATTCAACTCTATTGCCATTATGAATGGAAAATACAGAAAAGAGGTCAAAAAGCCTTTTCAACATAAACACATAATTTTTTTAAAGCTCTATTATTCAAAGACTCACTGAATAAACACAAATAACATTTATCCAATCAAATTTACTTTAATAAATAGATTATAGCAGAGCCTCCTGCAAGAATACTATCAAAACAGCAAGTGTTCCTTTTACCATACATGACAGTACCTTATACTTATCTAATCCATCTTCTCCATTTTTCTGTGAATTAAGAATGGGAGCGGTACTAGCATTTCCAAAGTGTAAGACCAAAATAGAAGCAAAGAGATGATACTTACTAACCTATCCTCTTAAAAAGCTTTCCAATAAATTTTAGTAACTATGTCATGCTGTTCTGAAATTAGTATACAATTATTATACCATACTAATATTAAAATGTAATTTTAAGTTAAAATTTAATATGATTACACTTTCTAAACATGCTTCATTTTAAAAAGAGCTTTTAAAATCTGCTGTGTAGCTATGGACTAATAAGGTAACAAAATAATAAAACAGTTATATAATTATAAATGTGGTAGAGCCAGGATCTATTCTTTTACATGCAAAAAAAAAAATACTAGTATGAAAAAAAAGTTACAGAATCTTTAGTGTGAAACTGACTTAAGCATGATTCACAAGAAGCTATTTTCCTTGAATACATCTTCCAGTAATTTTGTAACATGAGGAAATAGTTGAGGAAATGGCTTTAAAACCAAACAAAATCTTAAAACTGCGTAATGTTCCAATATACTACAGTACCAGCCCATCAAAATAAAAGGAACCATTTATATACTATTCAGCTAAGACACATATCTGATTATAGTGAGAGGATTGATAAAGAATAAGTCCATGGAGTTTTTGAAGAGGCAACAGACTATTTTAATGATTTGTGAAATCCACATGGAGGGAGAAAAAAGGCCAGAGCTTCTGAATATATTGACAACTCAACAGCCAAGATAACACAGGGTTGGTCAAGCAGTGTCGGCTCAACTAACTAATCAAAAACCCTAAAGTGGACAACACTAATTTTACCAGCAAGAGAAATATTGAGTTCTTTCATACAACTAAGAGAGAAAAATAAAACTCAACAAAAAATTGTGGAAGACCTCCTATAGTCCGCAATTGGCTTCTCACATTTCCTTTCCATTCACTTAAATAGCTATCTCACTGAAGAACACTTATGCTACAAATGAGAAACATTATCCACAAACACACCACCTCTGAAAAAGTGATTTCCAACAGGATGCATGTGTTGATTTCCACAGTGTGCACTGGTTAAAGCTTAATCTATACTGTGGGGAGGGGTGAGATGTTTCTGACAGTTGACCTTAGGATGCAGGAACTAGCAGGTGCCTTGCATTCCCACACACATTTTATTTTTAAAAAGGTGGAAGGAAGAACAGCTTAATCCAGTCTAGAGATAGTTCCAAAAACTTAGACTGGTGCATTCAGGAGGGTTTGTTTTAAGGTCTGTTAAAACTTGAAAATGTCCCCTCAAAGCAAGAAAGGTTAAAATCAGCCTGAATCAAACAATATTTTTCTTCCAGGCCCCTAGTCTGGCCATAAACAATGTCTGAACCAAAGGCTAGAACTGGACAGAACAGGCTATTCTAATCCTTTACGATGACCCTGTCAACAGCTTCTTCGGAAAGAATCCTCATTGCAACTGACCCATTAAATAGTATCAGTCATTTTCTCCACAACATTCCTATGTTTAGAGCTGCAAAGGAGGTTAGAATAATTTAGAACAAAATCCTCAAGTTACTGAAGAGGAAGTAGGTCCAGAGAAATTAAGTGACTTGCCCAAGGTCACTCAGCTAGTGAAGGGTACAGGCTGTGTTGAAGCCCAAGATCTCTGGCTCCCAAGAACTGCTTTTTCCATTGCATCATTTAAGATAGAACAAAACTATTTTCCTGGAATTCTGATAAACTAAAAAGAAAAAAAAAAAACAGTGGCATGCCCTTTTGGATCCCAAGCCCCTTCCTGTACAGCAATGCTGGGACAGTATTTATTGCGGGGGAACTCAGAGAAATAACTACAATATATGCAACATTTTGTGGATTTATTTTTTAATATAAAAATCTACCTAAACAATTGTAAACATTAAGCAAATTATTAGATGCTCAAACTTTTCTGGAACAACAGGGAAACTCTCTCCCACTGCTCAGTAGCAGTTTTGGGGCACAGCATTTGCACCTGCTTGGTACGTTTCCACCTGCAATGTTTCATTTGGCCCCTCAGAAAAAGTGCTGCCCTGCGGTCTTATGATTCAGTGATACAAGAGGGATGCTAGCTAGTCAGAAATGCTTATTTAAGAGGGAAGGCGGGGGAGAAAATAATCCCATAGCACTTCTCTTCCTTATTTTCCTTATTTTAGAAAGGCCAAATCTGAACACATGTTCCATCCCATGCAGTAATATATCTCACATAATTTTGGTTACTGGAGGGTGCATAAATCTAGCAGGCTTTCAAAATCGATGTGCCCAGCCTGACTCGACAGGCTGTCACTGAGACTGTCAATGGTGGAAAAATGAATCTGTGTCTAAGAAGGCGACAGCATTTCCTCCAAGCCTTTAGGGAACACAGTAACCAAACCCTCGTCACACGGGGTTCTCAGGATCTGCAAGCAGATCATTTCTCTGTTAACTCTCTTACAGCCCAGGAGGCTGCGTCTTCCTAGCTCTTGCTAGCTCAAGCGCTTTACTAGTGTACGGAGCCTAGGGCGCTCTGGAGCCAAAATATTTCACCCTCCCCCAATGACCCAAAACGACCGCTGCAGCAGCACTCGCAGGTCCCTCTCTCTCCCTCGGTGGTGGGGGCCAACCCCCTCGACCCAAAGCCACGTGCGGGGCTCCCTCCTGCTCGCGGATCTCGAGACAGGAAGATGAAGGAACGTGGCCTCGTAGTAAACCATAGTAAAGAGAGGAGGGAAACAAAATGGGGCTCGTCACATGGTCTGGCCTGGATTTTTCTCAATTAAAAATAAGAGGAAGTGTGTGTTTCCGGCCCCCGTCCGTGGGCTGGTTGGACTTTTTCATTCTTAGGATTCTGCTCCAAATGCAGGAATACTGCTGAGGGCACAACGTCCTCAGTCGGCGGGCGCGGTGCGAAGGGGGCCTGTGGCTCAGCCTGCAGGCACCCGCAGGAAAGAGGTGCAAGACGTGGGATGGGAGAAAACGGCCCAGGGACGCCCGCCTGCCACCAACGCCGGGGGAATCTGCGGAGAGCCCCGCCCCTCACCCTCCGCTGCTGGCAATTTCACACGCTGATTGGCTGTGGTGAGAGCCAATCAGCACCCAGCCGCCCCGCCCGCCCGCCCGGAGGCCCAGAGCTGCGCAGCTGTGCCCGAGGACGGGCCCTCGCCCGCCCACGCCTACCACGCGGCCAGGGACGGGGGCCGGTCGCCCGGGAGGACTCGAGGGGGGTGGGGGCGGGAGACCCAAGGGTGTCCTCACTGCAGATTCCCAACCCCGGGTGAAAGGGGGCTCGGAGGAGGGAGGAGAAGGAATGCAGGAAGCGGAGGTGACCCGGAAAAGGGAAAGTGCCAGGGCCGAGGGGGTTTGCGCCAACCAAAAAGGCCACACGGCAGGGGAAAGGGGAGGGAGAGGAGGCAACCTTGGAGGTACGGAATCTTTGACATCACAAAAAGGAAACAAAATAAAAAAGAAATGGAAAGAGGCTTTTTCTGTTTTTCTTTTCTTTTAAAAGGGGATAACCAAGAATGACAAAAACAAAAAACTGAACCCAAAAGGCATGGCTGGGGTCTGTGTCTTTGTCGCCTGCAATTTCAAAACTAAAATACAAATTTGATGCCGGGTAAAGGTGGCGGACCCAGTGTGAGAGGCCCTTTTTGCCCTGCTTCTTGGGTTCTCGATTTACTCTCTGCAGAGAGTGGGCCACAAGTACTGCAAAATTCTGAAAAGGAGCGAAAGAAAAAAAAGGACAATGTCAGGAACCTGAAATAAGAGGTGGAAACAAAGAGATAGCAGGGGATAGTAGGAGAAAACGAGCAGGTCAGAACTAAGAGGCGATGCAAGAGAAAGGGCAGACAGAAAATGTTGCTGGACTAGGTAAAGCAGAAAGGCTTCCAACAAGTGGAGCTCCTGAGCTCAGTGCTTCACAAGTGTTCTCCTCTAACAGACAATGAAAAAATTTAAACAACCCGAGATGTTTCAACAGAGCACACCCCTCATCATACCTCTATTCCTTTCACCGTGTCTCAGGTTTTACCTAAGAAATGAGGAAAAGAAGCAAAGACACCAATTGCTGAGGCAGGGAGGAAAATAATATTTTCACACATATACTCATTCGGAGCCAAAGCTGTTTGTCACTCACAGATCTGACTTCTGTCTGTTTCAGATAACTATGGAATAACATCTTTGGACTCAACAGGGCACAGGCAAGCAAGCAGAATTGGGGATATAAATGTGCCAGGTAGCATTTGGTGCCTCACTTTAAACACAGACACAAACATCTCAAATATGCATTGCAGAATTTTCCTGGCATGGTGCAAAGCACGGTTTATTGCTACTCCAAAATTATTAGAAATAGGATTACATGATTATTCCAGAATATTTTATTTTCCCAAAGAAGGCTAAGGATCAATGGTTGTAGGGTTTTTTTGTTTTGTTTTTTAATGCAGCCAAGACATAAGGAGAATTTTATTTTAAAGCCCTTTTAAAAAATGGAAATTCTAGTTGGTCATCAATTTTCTTCAGAGCAAACATTATTTATGCTACTCTAATAAAAAGAAACCTAAACAAATTAAGATAACAAAAACTTATTCTCTTCATCTCCTTTAAAACTAAAATTTTAGTTCTGCTTGGCTTGTTTTCTTCAAATACTCATTCTTTTACCAGTGAGGCACTTTATAATACAAATGCTTAAAGTGTTGAGGGATTTTGACTCCCAAAAACATCATTTGATATAACAAGATGTGTACCGTTGACGTTGATATACACAATTAAATCTTCTAGTGAATGATGAAAATAAATGTTGAAATAAATACTGATCAAATAATTGCTTTTCATAACATACAGATTTCACCTAAAATCTGCATTTGAATGATCACATACCTTTTACTTGTTCTACAAAATAGAGAATGATATGGATCAAATATTGGAAACAGAATCAAGAAGACTATGAACATATGATAAACAAATACCTATCAATAAGAAACCAGGGCACAAATTAACTTCTTATGAATGAACACACTTTAAGAAAATCAATGCTTTTAAAAGCTCATTCTGTGAAGCATATACAAAATTCACAAGATAATCAGTTTGTCAGAATAAAGTGTTTCCAAATGCTGGAAACTCCTGCATTGCCAACTCATCACATTATTTGCAAACTGTACTCCTCTCTTCTACCCACAATTATGACCACCAGAAAACAGGATCAACAGAACGAAGGGCAGGCTAATTTCCTATTACAAATGTTTTTCATTTTCAATATGGCATTAGCCTCAGAAGACCTAAAGCCAACTTTCAGCATTTACTGGGCTGCCTACTCTTGAACTTAAAGGCACACAACAAATATCCTAAAAGTGAAGGGTATAGAGTTTAGCCACTCTGTTCAATGCAAAACAAAACGAAACATAAGAAGGCATGTTCCTGACTTAATGTGCCTTCTTCTAAACAAAAAAAAAGTAATTTTACTGGAGATGTATAGTAGCCCCCAAATGATACCTGTAATATCTCAGTGCAAGAAGAGATAACTGTAAGATAGACATACTGAGATGAACTCCCGTAACTCTTAACTAATAATAGGTCCCAGACACTAGAGTTTCCTGCATACCCTGTGTAAGAGAGCCCAGGTATGTGAATAGTATTTCACAAATCCTGGTACAGGAACAAAAGGACAATGTCTCCCATAATTACTTTCTTGAGAGATCATAAAACAGATAAGTACTTCTCTCTAAATATGTATTGCTAAAAAGCTCTTACTCCAGAATCTTTTTAGCGCAGCATGAATAGAAATCAATGTTTCCCGGTGCTGTTTACGTTGCCTTGGTATTAGGAAATCACAGAACAAAAGTACAGAGAACAACTTGATAAGATCACCCTTAAGGACTCCCAGAAAGTATCTTAAAGGAAGGGTTTAGGCCCTGTGTTAAGAAATAATTTTGTAAAACTGTCCCTTCCAAGGGCTGACCTAAATATATAGTGAAAAGAAAACTTCAACAAATAGATCAAGGTTCTTATGTAAGGAACTTTACCGACCTCAGGACTGGCATAGGATATATGTTTTAAAAACACAGTAACTACTTCACTTGGAAATTCTCAAATGAAAAAGCCCTCCTGTGGCTGCTTCTACATATTTATTTGACTCTCTGCCAGATGTCATTGTGGGGTGAGCATCTTGTGTGCCCTGAGAATGTAAGTGCATTCTCCCTGAGGAAGCAATGGGAAAAAACAGGAAGGGGCAGAGGCGAAGAACAGAATTCAAGCACAAGGTTAAAAGCAGTTTTGTCTTCTTTGTCACCATGAAACGCACCTGCTGTGATGTCCAGTTGAGCTACTGATGGTCCTCTGGCTGCTTCTGGAAACTGATACTGGCATACGCGCTTAAATCCTCACTGGAGCGGGGGGTGGAGCTGTTCTCACCGCTGCCCAGGGGTTCATGAGGGGGTGGGGATGGGGGTGGGGGTGGCTGTGGTTGAGGGGTGCGCTCCTGAGGGCATTGTTTGAAGTCCTTGACCAAATCCAGGTCTATGTAGTTAAGACCATTCTCCAAATCCCCAGCAGCCCCACACAGTTGGGCTGGCTCCTTAGGGGCTCCCCCAAGTTCCCCAGGCCTCAGCCACACATTCTCAAAGGAAGCAGAGCTGTGGCGTTTCACATCCTTGCTGCTGCTGCTACCGCCACTGCCCCCTCCTGCTGCCCCTGCTCCAAAGGGCACCGTGTTGCCCAGCCGGGTGGCACTGGGTGTTGAGGAGAAGGTCTCGGAGCTGTGCCTCCTTCGGCACCCTTGTGCGTCTGCACGGATCACTTTGGCACTCTGGTTTCGATTAGGACTGAGGTTCACCCGGGTGAAGGCGCTCATGCCCCCAGGTCCTTGCGGTTCCCCCAGCAGGGATGAGCGGGCAGCCAGCTCTGCTACCCCTTGAGGCCCAGCGGGGGAAGCAGAGGCTGCCGAGGCTGAGGAGGCAGCAGCCATGGTGGCCCTGGGCAGGCTAACCTCCTCTGCAGCAATGCCTGTCCGCATGTCAGCATAGCTCACAGGGGCAACTGGTGAGGTGTCCACGTAGCTCTGATGGGGACAACCCATCTGCATGGTCATGTAGTCACCCCTACTGCTGGGCACTGCACGGGTAGGCCTGCAAATGCTAGCAACCCCGGGAGGTGCGGGGCCCACTCTGCCCACCTCAACCCCAGTGCTCTCCTGCCAGGCTGCCCTCCGGCCTGGCCTCAAGTCCATTTTCATGTACTCCTCAGTGCCAGTCTCTTCCTCTCTGGGAGCTGGCTGGAGCTGGGATGGACACCTGACAGAAGGTGAGCTGTGGGAAGCCACAGGGCCAGACAAGTAGCCAGGCTGATCACTCCCAAATTCAATATTCACATATTCCCCTGGGCTCTTGGGCTCTGGAGGGTGCAGCAGGGGCTGCTGCTGTTGCTGTTGCTGCTGCTGCTGCTGCTGCTGCTGTTGCTCTCCAGCCCGAGGTAAGGTGCTGGCCTTGGGATCCCCCAGGGACAGCCTCGTGGGCCGGGCCAGGCGGCTATTGGTCTGAGCAGCTGAGTCCACCTTTCGAGGCAGATGGAGCTGCAGAACCTGATGGTGGGAATGTGAAAGGCTGGGCTCCATCCTAGCCCCACAGTATCCCCCACCCAGGCTATCGCTGCTGGTGGAGGAGGAAGAATCTTCCACTGTTGCAGCATAGAGAAGGCGACCAGAGCTAGCGGAAAGGCGAAGGTGCTGATGCCGGGCACCCTCCTCCAACTCCCCGGGGAGCTGGGTGTGCTTAAAGGATCTTGGCAATGAGTAGTAGGAGAGGACTGGCTTGTGCTGGGGGTCCTCAGGACCGTAGTAGCAGTCGGAGGGGCTGCTGGTGTTGGAGTCCCCCACTGGCGACATGTTCATGTAGTCACCTGTGCAAGGCAAGAGCTTGCCACTGCTGCTCTCCACTGGGGGTTTGGGGTGAGGCAAGACATGAGCATGGTGGCCCCCTACCCCGTTTGTCCACAGCTTTCCATAGCTGCTCCCGGAAGGGACAGCCCTGCTGCTGCTGCTGCTGCTGCTGCTGCCAGGGCCACCTCCAATGTCAGGGGAGTAGCTGCTGCTGGGGGACATCATCATGTAACCATTGGGGTCCACTCTCTGGGGATGGCGTCTGATGGGGTTGATGATCTGCTGTGGGGCAGATACGCTCTTGGGGCTCATGGGCATATAGTCTCCACTGCCCTTTCGGCTGCTGGGCACTGGGGCCACCCCTGGGGACATGGGCATGTAGCCATCATCACTGTGGAGGGTGGAGCTTTCTGGGCGATGGTGGCCCCCCCGACGCTCCAAGGGGTGCATTTCCAAACCCTCCTCAGGGTAGGAATGGGTGGGCATGAAGGCGGAGTGCCTGTGTCCTGGCAGTCGGCCTCCACTGCCACCTCCTGGTGGGTAGACAGGCATCATCTCTGTATACTCCTCAATGGAAGCCACTGAGGACTGAGACGGTGTCTTCTGGTGGGAAATGGAAGGGGATGTGCCTGCCGAGTGAGTTCTCTTTCGGAATCGATTATCCAGATCGGCAGCACTGGCTGCTTCATCCCCAGTCAAGGCTGGACTAGTGCCCAAGCCTGTTCCTGGGGTGTAGCGGTGGCCATTGCCACCCCGTGACAAAATGTAGTGACCGTTGGGAGCAGTCAGGGTTGAGGGCCCCTTGCCGCCCATGCAGATATAGTTGCTTAGCTCCTCCTCACCGCGGGCCGGTGGGGTGTGACCCACGGAATCCGGAGTGACACTGCGAAAGGAACTCCGGAAATCGCAGGGACTGGAGCCATACTCATCAGAGGAGACAAAACCGCCATCGCTGGGGGAACCAGACACCGAAGCACTAGACCGCCGTGGGAAGAGACAATCTGAGGTGGAGCCATGGCCACTGGTGCTGCTGGATGACAGACTGACCGGGCTGGTGGCCGAAGGCGAGCAGCGGGAAGCTGGCATGGGGATGGAGCAGCTGTGGTTGAGCGGGGGGTGCAGCCGTGCGCTGCCCCGGTGCCGGTGGGCGTGGGTTCTGTTGGTGCTGGGACTCACAGGACTACCGTCCACCGAGGCCGGGCGAGACATGGTGCCTTCACCGTCGCTGGAGGCGCGGACCCGGAAGGAGCCTGGTTTCCCGCCCACCATGCTGGCTGGGGAGGTGGCCGTGATGCTCTCGGTGCGTGATCGGCGTGTCAGCCCCACCTGGCTGGGCGGGAGGTTGTTGAGATGGTGCCGGCGCAGGGGGACGCTGATGGGGTTGGAGCAGTTGGACGAGGACTGGCTCTTGCTGCGAGGGCGGAACTCATCGCTCATGGCCCGCATGGCCTCCAGGATGGTCTCGTGCATGTTCTGGGCCACCACGGAGTCATCCACCTGCATCCAGAACTCCCCAGGCCCCGTCACGGCAGAACGACCCACCTCGATGAAGAAGAAGTTCTCCGAGTGGCCGCAGCGCCTGATGTTCATCAGCTGCAGCACCACAGCCGCTACCTCCGAGTTCAGCTTCACGAAGCTGATGGTCTTGCTTGTCAGGCAGAGGCGGTATATACCAATCAGGTTCTTTGTCTGACCCAGGCCCTTGGGCTTCAGGATCACCTGCCAGACTTCTTTGAATGTGGGTCCTGGGGGCCCGTCCCCGTAGCTGAGGTCCTCCCCAGCCTCACCAACTCCCGAGCTGCCGCTGCAGCTGCTCCCGCCGCCTCCCGCCCCGAGGACCGCAGCTCCATCGTGGTGGCCCTTGGCGCGGTTGTGCAGCTGCAGGAGAGCCTGGTACCAGCTGTCTTGTTCGGCCTCGCTGTCCGCCGCGATGGCAAAGTGCTCGTCCCGGGTGTAGAGAGCCACCAGGTGCTTGTTCTTGGAGTCAGCACGCTTGTTGATGTTGAAGCAGCTCTCAAGGGGGATTGAGCGTTTGGGGGCGCTCGACTTGTGCCGCCACTTCTTCTCGTTCTCGTAGTACTCGAGGCGCGCCGGGCCCCCAGCCTCGCTGGCCGCGCGCAGTACGAAGAAGCGTTTGTGCATGCTCTTGGGTTTGCGCAGGTAGCCCACCTTGCGCACGTCCGAGAAGCCCTCGCTCTCCAGAGGGCTTGCCATGCTGCCGCTGCCACCACCGCCGCTGAGCAGAGGGAGGCGCCGAAAAACAACCGGGTGGGGGGCAAAGGCTCCTCGCCACAGCCCCACACATGCAAATAGGGCTGGAGGCAGCAGAAACCCCAGACTCCGAAATCCACACAGTCTCCCGCACCGCACCGGGGAGGGGCAACTGGAGGAGGACGCAGCGGCTGCACCAAAGAGAGACCCCGACCGGAGTTTTACCGGCGCTTCACGCCCGGGAGAGAGGCAGTGAGTCCGGGATGAGGGCAGCCCTGATCCTTTGAGAGCCAAGTCTCTTCTCAGCCACTGCCGCTACCGGGAAGGAGCGAAGATGCATCTCTCACCGCCCCGACTGGAGTCCAGCGCAGGGAGGCAGTGGTTGGGGGTCCCCGCGTTGCCCCTCTAGGCGTGCGCGAGCGCGCGCCTTCCCTCCTGAGTTCCCCTCTGGAGTAGAGATTCCCGAGGCAAATTAAATATCCTTGGGTAGGGGGAGGCGGGTTGCCAAGTCCCAACGTTGGGTTCTCCCTCCTCCTTCTTCTCCTCCTCCTCCTCCGCCTCCTCCCACCCCCCAACCGTCCCAGCCGCCACCAGCAGTCCAAATACCAGCTCAATCGCAGAGACCGCGGCGCTGCGGCTGTTGCTGCTGCTGCTGCCGCCGCCCGCGGGCGCGTCCTCTGCAGCCCCCATTCGGGCCCATCTCGGCGGGCGGAGAAAGTGGCTTTTCCATTCGAAACGCTACTGGGCAGCCAGGGCAGCTGAGGACAGGCCGGAGGGACAGGCTTATCCCTGCCCCTCGCTGCAGTCGGCAGGGGAGAAGGGCAGGGGACAAGGGCGGCAGGCGAAGGGGGAGGTTTGGAAGGGTTCGGGAAGACGGCTGTTCTCTGGGAGGCGCTGCCGCTGCAGTTACTTCTCCCCTCCTCCCTCCCTCCTCCTCCTCCTCGGAGAGTTGCCGAGAGCCCCAACCAAAACAAGCCGCGGCGTCTGGCTCTGCGCGCCGGCCCCCTCCGACCGCGCCGCCGTCTCACTCAGAGGAGAAAAACACGTGACGGAGCCTCCGCGCTCGGCAGCCGGGCCGCCGCCGCCGCCGCAGCCGGGAGGCTCCCGCCCGGGTCTCTACATTCCGGGCCGATCCCGCCCCGCGCCCGCCCCTCTCCGCCCCCCGGCCTTGCCGCAGCGGCGCCCGCGCCGAGCCCCCGCGCAGCGCTAGGACAGCGCCCCTGTGCGGCCACCAGCTCGCGCGCAGCGCCTCCCTCCCCGTGCGCTACCCAGGGCGCCCCAGGCCCTCAGGAATCCCCGCGGCGGGCGCGGGCGGGGGTGTTTGGGTGGCTACCCGAAAGCACGAGGGGAGTCTGGGAAAACGGGAGGGGGCGAGCTCGGGAAGACGCAGGAGTGAGGGTGGGGGCGACGGGGGGGTACTGCGGCTGTGGAGCCCCTAGTGGGAGGCCCGGGGGAGGCGGGGGCGCGGGAGCTGGGTTGCCTCTTACCTAGCAGGTAAGATCGACCCGCGGGAGGGAGGTTTCTATTCAAGGCTGTTTCTCCCAGAAAATATACAAGCTAGATTTCGGCTTCAGGGTGATAGGCCATGGTGCGGGGATCCGTATTTTTGTAAGGTTTTCCAAAGGACTTCTGGGCCAGCCTTCCACCTTGGAATCCCTGGATTTGCTGCCGTGAGGTTCCTGGAAGGAACAGAGGGACGCCCAAGGGCAGTGACTGGGGGCAGTTATGGTCACTGCCAAAGGAGAACAGGGATTTCCCAGGAAGCTGCTGATCAGTTAGGGAGAAACTGTAAATATCACCTTTTCTCCTATTCCCCTGGCCTATCCATTTGAGGGGGATTCACACCTAAGCCTCAGGGCATGGGGGAGGGGAAATGAAAGGTCCCTTATCATATTACGAAGTCTCTCCGTGACTTTAAAAAACTGTTACGGACTTACAGAGGATTCATAAGGCCAAAACCCGACTATGCAAATATTGGCTGAAATGTTTGTTTCACACACAGCTTCCACACCCATTGAACCACCCTATAAATGTTTAACCTTGACCACAAGGATAATCGGGAGAAAACAAGGATGGTGCCAGCTCAACAGTACAGGAAAATGGGTACTTCATGAGTGTACCAGGTCCGCAGCCTGGGTCTACTTGAAGCTCCTCTTTCAGGGTTACCTTGCGGTACCAGTCTCCCCACAAGCAAACGCTCCCAAGTTTTTTGTTGTTTTAAGCTGACCTATAAACAAACAGTTTGTCCCTGCTTGCTCGCCCGGCACTAAGGATCCACAGAGATGTCACTCGGTTTAATGTTGTCGCATGTTGATGCCTGACTCGTTTGGGGTTGCCGCCCCTTTTCCAAGCCGGGACCCTGCTCAGCCTCCGGCTCCCAGGCACTGCAGGATGCTGGTGGGGCAAGCAGCAGTCCAAGCGCTGGGCATGCTCAGTGGCCGGGACCCGCCGGGCCGCAGGGGAGCGCGCCTCGGCCCAATGCGGGCTGAGGGGCGGGGCGAGTTTCCCGGGGTGGCCTGCTGATTGGTGGGATGGCCTGTTTTTCAAGCCTCGCACTGCAGAGGGAAGGTGGGGAGAGGGGGTGAGGGTACCAAGGTAGGTTACAAAGCGTAGTAAAAAAAGAAAAAGAAGAAGAAGATGATGATGAAGGAGAAAAACAACCATAGGCTCCATTCAGAGGCGTGCGATACGTGAATTAGGGAGATCCGGCATCTGCAAAGGGGCTCCTCCCCACCTAAGCCTGGGAGCCTCTGGTTTCTCCTCTCCCCTTCCTGTTCCCGGTGGTCATGCAGCTTCATCTAAACCTGGTTAATCTATAATTTGAGTACACATGTTGCATTGAAAGCCCTCCCTTCTTTTTCTCTGACAGCTTAGTGATGTGGGCACACGTGCCCACTACAGCAAGGCTATTAATAGCAGATATTAGGAAATGGAAGCGAGGCGACACAGTGACCGAAATTCTGGGGAGTATAGAGTGCCTTATGGGGGGCGGGGCAGGGAGGTGCGGAATAGAGACGCCTGAAGTTGGTGGAAAAGCGTGACTGTGTACCTGGTTTTACCCTAGACAGGAAAAGAGCGAGATAATAAAAGGGTTGTTTACTAGTAATAGTGTAATCCAGATAAGGCCAAAGGGCTTTTTACAGGTTTGACGCTTAGCGCTGGGATGGCGGTAGTGGAGTATTTCACATTTTGTAAGACTACAAATCAAATCCATAGACATTTACTTTTCAAATTGCCCCGTCCCTACCTCCGTCCCTCCAGACCCCCAGAAAAGCTAAATAAAGGTACTGTACCTCTATCTATAGGAGAAAAATACTCCTTTCTGGAAGGAGGAAATGGTTGGAAATTTTATTTACACATATTTTACAATAATCTTCATAGAAAGGATTTTGATCATAAAAACCTAATTATGATAAAACGTTTTAAACATATAGCTCTCAGTGTTAAAGCATTTCTGCTTTAAAAAATCACAATTTCAGTTGCTAAATATTCGATAAAAATTATGAAATAAGCCGCACGGTGCACTGAAATATTATGTTCAGACCAATGGGTTTCCTATGGAAGATAATCACTGATCATAGGATATTAGTGCCATTTTTTCTACTTGCTGATGTTTTACTACCAATTTAAATGTGGCTAATATTTGTTATAATTATACTACAGTACCTTCAATTGTTCGCTGCATTTTTTACTACTGGGCTGAGATAACTGGAAATTGATTTACATTTGGTTCATGCAATATATAGAATAGAAAGAGACCCGTTTGTGGGATCTCACTGAAGTAATGCTGAGCAGGTGTGAGTATTATTCTGTCACCCAAGCTAAATTAGTCTTTTGGTGTATTATAATGAAATACACTGTATGAAAAATTTACTCCTCACTGAAAATTCACAGAACAGCAAAGCAACCTATAACGGAAATATGTTGCTCAATGCTGCCATCTATAGGAGAGTTACAGCCGATTTGTGTAATACGCTAAGGTGCATTTTAAGAGAGCTAAAATAGTGATTGGTCACAGCATTGCAACAACTATGTTGATGTCACTAATACAGTTCTCATTCAAGGAGTTAAGAGTTTACATGCTTGGGGCAATGTGTCTACAACTAGCTTTAAAATTGAATTATTGGTTTATGTATGATATATATCCATAAAGTGCTTGAGCTGGGTGGATGTAAAACTAAACATTTGAAAATGATAAAGCACATCATGTCTTGTGTCAAAACAAATGTTTTCCTTAAGATGTATGGGTCATAACTGGAGGAGCTATTTAAATACTGACATCTCTTAGAATTGCTTTTGGCGATTTAGAACAGTGCTTGAAGGACAATTGAAATGTGGATTTTCTCACTTTAATGTCTATTTGTATTTTAAGATGGCTCAATAGTAATAGGCATTTAAATGCCTACTCTGGAAGGCAATATGAAATATATAAAAAGGAGACAGCTTCTTATACCTTTGATGGAGTAACAAGAGAGTACAAAATAACAATAATTAATGACTAAAATGTGTGTGTGTGTGTGTGTGAGAGAGAGAGAGAGAGAGAGAGAAAGACAGAGAGAGGAAGAGAGATATCAAATGACAAATAAGTGGTGTTTACTTCCATGATGGATGAAATAACTAAATAAATCTTTACAGAAGAGAGGAACTTTAAGCTTGAACTTAAAGTGAGCTATAACTCAGATAAATGATTGGCAGGTTTTTTCCCCACACAAGTTTTTTGGAACGCCAACTTGTGTTAGGCATTAGGCTGGACACTGAGAATTTAGATATCAAAGACATACTACCCACAGGAAGCTCACATTGAAAATAGCAGACAAATGAACACAATTACAGAGCACTATGATCTCATTTGTGGAAAAAATAGGCACAGGGCAAATGAGATCACATAACAACCAATTGCCTTCTGACGTAAACATTCTAATTTACAGACAGTACAATTTGGGAGTCTGAAAGGTACCTCTTCCCTTAAAAACTTTGTTTTCTCATGTAATTGAAATCTTTCATCTACTCTATTTTAAAAATATAAACTAGACTAATTAAAAGTGAGCTGGAAAGTAACACTTGGCTTGCAAATCTGCTACATCTGCTATATCTCAAAGCCACAGATCTTGTTAAAATTCAGGTTCTTGTTAAATGCAGAAGGTCGAGGGCAGGCTGAGATATTGCATTTTTAACACACACTAGGTGATGCTGATTCTGCTGGGTAAGTGGCAGAGTTCTAATGACTGATGATTAATTAAAAGGCACAATAATTTCATGCTGTGATATGAAAGCAGGGCACTTATATTTTAGTATTATATACATACAAAGAGAACAATAGCAAGAAAAATTCTACTTAGGCATCATTGTATTTGGGCTTCTCTCTTCTCAATCGCAGGCATCAAATCTTTCTGATAAGCATGAAGAGTTATTTTCGAACAGTTGTGTTAGTGTTTTCCAAGGTGTGATTAAAAATGGAGATTTCTTACCTCATCCCAGTCCTACTGAACCAAAATCTCTTAGGGAAGGATGGGCACCCCCTAATTTACAGTTTAAGCAGCATTACAATAGATTATTATTTACATTAATATTTAAGAATCATTGGCTTAAACACAAAGAAAAAAATGTCATTATGTACTTCTGGAATTAGCAAATGCACAGCCTTAACCAGTCAACAAAGATCTTCACCTGTGGGCTGTTTTCTACAGCTGAGTAGTAAACCAGCTGTAACCCAAACCTGCATGAGTCTCCCAATATGAATTGATTTTCCTTTGAAGAAAATCAATTACTGGCAATCAGCTAGTGAGAATCCAGTTCTGCTCTCATTTTAATTTCATCCCTCATCTATTCTAGGGAACTGAGGGAAAATAAAGGCACCAAGAACTAATATGGGATTTCAGAAAGACAGTAATGCCCTCAAGAGATGATTTCAAAACACTTGCTGTTTTGGGAGTAAATAAAGCATGAAATAAACAGATGGATGAGGTTGGAGGAAATGCAGGAGGTTAAACTCCATGCCATTGTTTAATTCTTTCACTTCAGAAATTCTACTGATTGATTGTTGATTTTGGGGGGTTAAATCCATAACTGATATTTGTCTAAAAGACTAGGTCCTGGTCCACGCATGGTAACTCATGCTTCTAATCCCAGCAATTTGGGAGGCAGAGGCAGAAAGATCCTTGAGCCCAGGAACTCAAGGTTGCAGTGAGCTATGATCATGCCACTGCACTCTAGTCTGGGTGACAGAGTGAGACTTTGCTTCTAAAAATAAACAAAAAGACAGACTAGCTTTCGCTTTTTTAATTTTCTTGATTTCCTTAACTATTATATTCTCATTTTCTTTTACAGTCTTGTTTGATAAGAATCAGGGGTCTCCCAGTCAATTTGCTATCTTAAGACAATGCCACTAACTCGTTTGGTCATTTGATTGAGAGGAAGAACCCTGAATTTTTTCTTTTTTTTTTTTTCTTTGAGACAGAGTCTCACTATGTCATGTCGGCTGGAGTGCAGTGGTGTGATCTCAGCTCAATGAAACCTCCACCTCCCAGGTTCAAGTGATTCTCCTGCCTCAACCTCCTAGTAGCTGGGATTACAGACACACACCGCCACACCCAGCTAATTTTTGTTTTTTTAGAGACAGGGTTTCACCATGTTGGCCAGGCTGGTCTTAAACTCCTGACCTAAGGTAATCCATTTGCCTCAGCCTCTTAAAGTGCTGGGATTACAGGCATGAGTCACCCACCATGCCCAGAAGCTGTTTCTTATGTTTGAGGAGTCAAGTATTATATGTAGATAAGCATAGAAAGATTTGCAGACTTTACAACACCTTGCTGGTTTTTCCCTCTTCTTTATCTTAAATTTGTCTTTTTGGTGCAGTGCACTCTAAACTTTCTAAATTTAAATTTATTTTTGATAGCCCAAAAATGTCTTCACAATAATCCCTCAACTTCATTTGTTTATATGTTAATGAGAATTTCAGTAATATTGAATATCCCGTGCCCTCTATTCAGTTGGCAGGATCTAGAGGTAGAACTAGTTGGTTTTACTGTTGGTCAAACTAACAAAGAATTGCTAGGTCACCATGGCGCCGGCATTCTTCTCACATCCCCTTCTCAATTGCAAAGCTAATAAGCATCCCTTTTTCTCAGTAATGACGGATGTCCCATGCTCTCTATTCACTTGGCAGGGTTTGGTGGTAGACTGGTTGGTTTCACTAACAAAGAATTGTTGGATCACTATGGCCCCCTCATTCTTCCCGCAGCCTCTGCTCAACTGCAAGGTTAAAAACCATCTCTCTCTTCCTCCTCCTCTTCTTCCTCCTTCCTTTTCTTCTTCCTCACTGAGTCTCATCACTACAAGATAATGATTTTAATAAGGAAGAAAAATACTGTTTAGAAGCTTAAGGACACTAGCTTGGTGTGGATTAGGAGGATACAAGTTAATTTGAACTTAAGAAATTTGTAATTGCATCACTACCTGTGGCGTTGTCTCGTGTGACTACAAGTGGGCAGATGGTTACCCATATCAGAATTGCCTATGGAATTGTTCAAATCGAAGCTTCCTGCATCCCACCTCTGACCCTTCTAAATCAGATCCTCTGTAGGTCAATGTGTAGGTCCCCCATTTCCCATTCTTGCCTCCATGAGTTTTATGTATGCTAAGATTTGAAAACCACTGATTGGCCTATCTGTAAAATCCTGGATTAGAAATGAAGGTGTTAGGAAATATATGCAATATTCACCTCCAGCCACTGTCCCAAGTGTGGTCAATGGTTTATTCTGAAATATTTAACTGAAATGACTTTAAAACTTTTGTCATGAGTGAGAGAGGTAAGGGTAAGTTGTGTTATAGTATTTGCAGTAAATGATTTTAAAACTTTTGTAGTGAGTGAGTGTCATAAGGGTAAGTTGTGTTTAGTCATGAGTCCACACCCAGACTCACAAATAAACACAACTTACCCCTACTCCCTGCAATGCGCTCAGATCTTTTTACTGTTTTTCTCTCTTTCTCTCAATCTCACACTTTCTCTTTCTTTTAATGTTTTCTAAGACCCACTAACTTAATTTCCCAGCACTAAGGTGTCATAGCCTACAGTTTGAAAACACCAACTTTCTATGTGAATATTTCTGCGTTCAAAAACTGAACAATGATCATCTCTAGATCCTTGGATGATGCATCACCCATAGAGCCCCTAGGGAGGAAATTCACAATGCTTCCAGTGGGTTCTGGTTTAATATTGTTTCTGATTCTGACCAAGAATGATTTTTCCGCTGCTTTTTTTTTCTTAAGCAGTTGGGCATAGTCTGCACCTGCTAGGCAATGAAATCTGATGCACTTACAGTATTCATACAGTGGAACTCTGAAGACAGGTAGAAGGCAAACTAAAAACAATGAATGTGGTTCAGTTACTATTTTTTAAAAATAGACATTTGTCATCACTTCCCAATATCATTTCATTGTGATATTGAGCTAATGTTGTTTCCTATAGAAAGTATTGGAGGAAAAGAAGTTAGCGATTATACATGCATTTAAAATATATTCTTATAAATTTGTATTTTATTTTTGCATCGGTTTTGGATTGGAGCTAAAGGAGAAAGTAATTGTTCTCTTTTATAAAGAAGACAAATTAAAAAAACTACTAAGTAGTAATTTAAATTATTAGTTTTATTAATAACATTAGTTTCATAAAAACTAGATACAATATTGCTATTTTGTATTTCCTAGTTTACCAAATATAAATGTCTTTGATTCCTAGGAAATTAAAATTTCAAAGGCTAGTTCCTCTTCATTCATTCAGCAAATATTTACTATGATGAAGAAATGGTCCATGCAGAGGAAATGGCGAATGCAAAGAGCCCCTGACAGAACAGTATTTGGCACATTCCAAGAGAGTGAGGAGGTAAGTGCGGTGGGAGCAGAGTGAGGATGGGGGGAAGAGGAGAATGGATGCTTAGTGAGATAACAGTGATCATAAGATCATGTAGGCCTTTTGTATGGACTTTGGTTTTTACTCTAAGAGGGGAAACCACTGGAGGGTGTATAACAGAGCAGTGATGTAATCTGACATATTTTAAAGACACTCTGGGCCGGATGTGGTGGCTCAGGCCTGTAATCCCAGCACTTTGGGAGGTGGAGGTGGGCAGATCACTTGTCAGGAGTTCAAGACAAGCCTGGTCAAAATGGTGAGATCCCCATCTCTTCTAAAAGTACAAAAATCAGCCATGTGTGGTGGTGGGCGCCTGTAGTTCCAGCTACTCCAGTGGGGCTGAGGCAGTAGAATCATGTGAACCCAGCAGGCAGAGACTGCAGTGAGCTAAGACTGCACCACTGCACTCTAGTCTGGATAACAAAATGAGACTCTGTCTCAAAAACAACAACAATGACAAAAATACTCTGGCAGCTCTGTTGGAATAGACTGTTGGGAGGAGGACAGGGATAATGGCAGAGCAGACCTGATAAAAGCTTACTGCAGAAATATGGTCAAGAGATGATGGTCATTAATAAAGATGGTGAGAAGTGGTCAAGTTCTGAATATATTTTGAGGGTGACATCAGCAGGATTTGCAGGTGGTTTGGATGTGACATGGAAGAAAAAGAATGAAGGATGACTTCAAGATTTATTTTTTACTGTACAACTTAAAAGATAAAATCCCCATCAACTGAGACACTGTCAGTTTCCTATGGCTAGGTTAAGAAACTACTCTGAAGGAATAATGATAAAACATCAACTATTTTATTATGCCCTAGGATTCTATGGGCAAGGAATTCAGATAGTATACTGTGTGGATGGCTTGTCTGTGTCCTGGCTGGGATGGTGCAAATGGCTAAGAGACTATTTGACTTAAAAGGCTGGAGCCTGGAATCATTTGAAACTTTGTTCACTCATGTGTCTGGCACCTGGGTTAGAATGACTGAAGGCCACATCAACTAGAGTACTTACATCTGGTCTCTCCATGTGACTTGGACCTTTCACAGCATGGAGTCTGGATTTCAAAGGTGAGTGTCTGTAGAGAGACCATCTCAAATAACATACCAAGAGGGAGCTTCTAGAGAGGGAGTGTTCCAAGAGAATCAGACAGAAGTTGTGTAGCCTTTTATGACCTTAGCTCAGAAGTCAGCGCTTCATTTCTGGCGTATGTGTATTCTATTGATCAAAGTAGACATAAGCCCATCCAGATAAAAGGGCAAGGAACTTAGACCACAGATCTTGATGGAAGTAGTATCAAAGAACTTGTAGTCATTGTTTTAAACTACCACAAATTACAAATTGGAAGAGTGTGGCTGAATAGGAATGGGGAAGATGAGGTAAGATCAGGAGTTTGGTTCTAGACATGTTGAATTTCAGGTACTTTCTGATCCTTCAAGTGGAGATATTAAGTAGGTATTCATATATATGAGACTAGAGTTGAAAAGATGAGTCTGGGCTCAAGCTGTAAATGTAAATGTTGTCAGCATATGAATGGGATTTAAAGCCCATGATACTGAATAAAATCATCAAGGGAGAGAAAGAAGATAGAGAAAAGAATAGGACAAAGATGCCAGCAAGAGGGACAGAAGAACCACCAGTAAAGTTGCTCTCTTTTAGGCAAAGGAAAGCCATTGTATCAGGAAAAAGAGAGTGAACAACTGAGTCAGTTGCTGCTAATGGTCAAGTCAGAGGAAGACTTGGAATTGACATAAGATTTAGCATCATGCTTGTGTTATGTGTTACGATATTAACATTGATCTCAGATGCACACAATGTTTATTATCTGATTGAATTCTTTAGGGGAATCATAAGAGTTCAACACACTCAGATGTGTATAGTAGGTTAGCAGTGTTTGTATGGATAATTATGGCAACATATTTTATATTTCCTACATAGCTTTAACTTGAAAAATTGCTGTGAGGATGGAGATACTAAAGTACAATGGATGTTATATTTAGTCTCACTATGCATTTTAGTCTTCTTGTCTCTGAGATTAGACTTCTAAACATTGTTAAGATTTTGAGAAAGAGAGGGAGAGAGATGTATTCATATTAATAGAAAAAATTACCAAGATATGTCCTAATTTTTAAAACAAATATTTTAAAATATTTTTTTAAAGTTTATTTCTAGGAATCTACTTCCAGATTTATTAGTCTTTACTCATCTAAAACTTTACAAAATAACAAATAATAGCTTTCGCCTTTTTAACAATTATTTTAAAAGATTAATGTAAGGTAATTTAGTGCAAAAGACAAATATCAATACCGATACCTACTTTTAAGTTGGAAAATGTAAAATAAAATCTTATGTAAAATACCTCAATAACCAACAA